AGTTACTAAAGCCAAAAGCTGATACTTTTACAAGAGTGGTAATAATTTACAAGAGTGATAATAATAATAATAATAATAATAATAATAATAATAATAATAAAATCCATTAGCTCAGTTTACAAACGAAGAAAGGGACATAAGTCGCTAGGAAGTGAGATGACTGAGGAGGAATGCTGCTATACATACCAAGGAAATTTAGATAGTAAAAAAGAATTATGTAATCAGCTCCATCCTCACAAAATGATAGTCTAGATCAAAGTGGCAAATTTCTTTAACACAAAGCATTTACAATTACTTCAGTTGTTTTCAAATAGCCCACCCTTAGCCTACATACAAATCTAAACTGGAGTTTTATGTAAATCCTGTCAATTACATAAACAGGCAAATGGTAGGAATGAATTGATATTCTCTTCATTTCCACCTTCCCTATAAGTATATTCAGGAGTGATCCATGGCCATCATCAGTCCCTACCTCAGGGGAATGAGAAAATTAGTCCTAGATATGTCCTAGGCAATTATAGTATCTTTAATGAGTTTTACAGGATCTGGACTCCTCTGGGATGCAGAGCCCCTGGGTCTAGAGATGGCTAGAAGGGGACATGTAAGAAAGTGTTGACTACAGATTCTGTTCTTTCCTGTGCTTATAACGAATGAAGGTGACAAGGATCTGATGCAAGGATCTTAAGATACCTCCAGTCATCCTAGATAATTGTCAGGAGGTACCTCAGTGTCTTCCAACCTATGGATCTTGCATTTCCAGTTTTATGATAGTATGACTGAGAGTTTTCAGGTATGATAACATTCTTTGCTATTCCCATACTTTGCAACAATTTTGTTTATTATTATTTTTTCTTACTTTACATATTGATTCCAGTTCCCTCTCCCTTCCATCCTTCCATGCCCCTGCACCCACCCCCTTCCCATTCCCCATCCACTCCCCAGGGTGAGGCCTTTCAGGAGGGATCATCAAAATCTGTCAAGTCATTTGGAATAGGCAGGGCCTAGGCCCTCCCTCCTATCTCTAGGCTAAGGGAGAATCCTATAATGGGGAATGTGCTACTGAAATCCCTTCATGCACCAAGGTTCCATTGTCAGAGAACTGATAGAGTGCCCAGGCCTTCTAACTGAGACCCATATTCAGGGGGCCTGGGTTGGTCCTGTGCTGATTTCCCAGCTATCAGTCTGGGGTCCATCAGCTCCCACTTGCTCAGGTCAGCTGTCTCTGTGGGTTTCTGCAGCCTGGTTTTGACCCCTTTGCTCACTACTCCTTCCTCTCTGCAACTGGATTCCAGGAGTTCAGTTCAGTGTTTAGCTGTGGGTGTCTGCTTCTGCTTCCATCAGCTACTGGATGAAGGCTCTAGGATGGCATATAAGGTAGTTATCAATCTCATTATTAGGGAAGGGCATTTAAGGTAGCCTCTCCACTATTGCTCAGATTGTTAGTTGGGGTTATCCTGGTAGGTCTCTGGACATTTCCCTAGTGCCAGTTTTCTCTTCAAACTTAATAATGGCTCCCTCTATTGTGGTATCTCTTTTCTTGCTGTTCTTTATTCTACCCCCAACTCAATCTTCCTGGTCCTCTCCTCTTTCTCCTAACTCTCTCCTGACTCACTGCCCTCCCTGCCCCCTCTCTCAGTGCTCAGGAGAACTTGTGCAATATTTCCCTTATTGTAGAAATACCTAGTTTCACAGTTGCATTGATAATCATTATGGTGATGATCTGGTTTATTACAATTACTTACAGGGTAATTATTTTTTTCATTTCAACCTAATAGTATCAATTTAGAGGGTAGGGACAATCCTGAAGTTGTTAAGTCTATTTTTTAAAACATCTTTCGCTTTGGAACATTAATAAACCTTGGACAGATCCCTTATCTAAAAGAGCTCAGAACAAGTCATGCATGTACTTGCTCCTTACTGAAATCCATCAACCAGAGTCAGTGTTTCAGAGAAGCCCAGGTGAGTTGCATGTATATTAACTGCTAGAACCATTTAAATGGGAGATTCTCAGGTGCTATTCAGGTCAAGAATTGAGAAGTGAAGTCCATTGGTAGAAGCTGCAAGCTTCAAAGGTGACCTCTGCTTTGTAATTTCTGCATGTAAGCCTACATGATACATTTATTCAATTATTATTTTCTGTTTTAAATCATTTTTTAAATTTAAATTTGAGACAAGCTTATTTTGCACCCTCTTGTCCTCCCCTTTTCTCCTGACCAACCCCTATCCCATCCCCTTTCTGCTCCCCGGGGAGGATGAGGCCTTCCATGGGGAGACTTCAAAGTCTGTCATATCATTTGGAACAGGGCCCAGGCCCTATCCCATGTGTCTAGGCTGAAGGAATATGCCTCTATGTGGAATCTCACTATCAGGAAAGGGCATTTAATGTAGCTTCTCCACTATTGCTTAGATTGTTAGTTGGGATCATCCTTGTAATCTCTGGACATTTCCCTAGTGTCAGATTTCTCTTAAAACCTATAATGGCTCCCTCCAGTGTTCTTTATCAATAAAGACTCAGGAGTCAGAAATAAAGAGAGAACCTGCATGATCAGAGAAGCAGGTGAGAAGTGACCAGTGCCCTCTTCACTCTCTCTTTCCTCTATCCAAAAGGTTTGAGAATCTTTCTAAACCCCTCCTTAATGCTTCCTGTGTCTCTCTATATGTCCTTGGTCTTCTTCTGTCTAATTCAAGGCAAATTTTATTGTCAGCCTTGGGAGTGTAAGAGTGTGATCAAGATATCCCACAGCATCTACATAAGACATGGGCCCCACTAATTTACAGAATAAGAACAATTCTGAGGAATTAGATGAACAATTTCACCTACATTGCCCTTCCCATTGCCCCATTGTCACAAAACATAGCATTCAAGTGTTAAACTGTTAATGCAGTTAATGAACATTAGCAGAATGAAGACCCCAACAGCTGGATTCAGTCAGACAGTGTCATGGAAGGATGTCCCACTTCTCTGTGTGTCATTCATTTTCTTTTATTTTTCAGTTAGAGGTGGAACTCAGGGCCTTGGGCATGCTAGATAACTACAGTGCCACTGAGCTAAATACTCAGGCCCAGTCCCTACATCTCTTTGTATTTCTCCTTGACTTCTTGCCACTTTTGATATAGACTGGGGTTCATTAGACAGAGTTATCTAGGAGAAAAGAGAACAGAACAAGGAACTATTTTAAAGACACAGCCCATACAACTGGAAATTGGTAAATCCAGTAGACACAGACTAGAGTCTCTGGGAAGAGTGGATGTCACAGTCTCAAATCTGAGGCACTATGGATGAGTTTCTCAAGAGACTGTAGCTTTCTGTTGTTCCTACAACTGCTCGCATGGGGATCATCACATTATGCAGGCTTAGAATTACTTTACAATGATTTAATGTTAATTACTAATTTAACCATTAATAATAGTGTAAAAAGCATTCATAGAATTTCCAGAGCTATAATCTAACCAAAATTGCTATTACTACCTAGGCCAGTTCCTATTATAATTAGCTATAAAGTTACAGATGCCTATCGTAAGACAAAGTCGAGAGGATAATAATAACTGCTACTTCATAAAATGTTCGTCATGTTTATTTCCTACATCACTATCAGTGGAGTCATATGAATTGAAGCATAAAATGATGAATCTTTAGTATTATTGAAAAGAGCATTGCATTTTAACCACCATAATACTTTCCATGAATACACAGTTGCATCAGTAAAGCAAACACAAACTATATTTTCATGTTAGAAGTTTCAAGTTTAATGACTTTATATTCTGGGGAGATTGAAGAAGAGTAACTATTTGTATTTAATGTGCATTTCTGTCTTAAATTTGAAAGAGTCTTTTTCTCCGGATAGAGCACCACCAGGAAATCTTCATGGACACAGAGTCACATCCAGGAAGGGCTGGTCTTGCTGTGTCACGTGGGCAGGCATGGCCTTTCCTACATATCAGTCTGAAGAAACTAATGGTTAGTCATTGGACTTGGGACATGTGTTAGAATTGAATGGTGATTTTAATATTTCAGGTAGGAGATGATGGATACATTTCTAAGAATATGATTGGATGGCTTTAAATGCCTGGGTAAGAAGAGGATGAAGATGAGAAACTATATGATGTACTAGATTAGAGTTCAAGGTAAGAAAAATACAATAAAACTCGTATATTAGATCTCGAATTAATTTTATAGTATTATGAAAAACTAGAATCATGGGAGACAGAAGATGTTGGAAGACAGAGGATTCATTTCTCTTGGGTTGCACTGAGCCTCAGAAGCCTGTGGGGAAAACCAAAGAATATGATTAGTCAGCAATGATCCTGTAGGTTAATGAAACAGCTATATCTAACTTTTAATTAGTAATCTAACACATTAAGGTATATGTGTTTTCTTGGGGGTCATATAAAATTCAGAGAAGCAGGTTTCTATAAATCATTTAAGTAAACATAAAAAAACCCATACAGAATGGGGTGAACTACAGTTGCCCAGAATAAGTAGGCAGGCAGGAAAGAGATGTGTCAATACATATTGCATATCAGAAGCTACCAAGAGTGATTAGAAATACTAGACTATTAGTGCATGCTAAGGTAACATTAAGAAAAGCCTTTCATGTGTATAATGACTGAACATACTGTGATATAGAGATTACATTACCTTTGATGAGAGTAATATTAATTACTGAAGAACATGAGGCACATCATGTGTGTCTCAGAACATGTCTGTTTTCACTGGGACATGGAGATGGATTGGGGGAGTGGTTGTATTGGGGGAGTATTCAGGACAAGGTTAGCATGTCATCACCTACCAAGGACAATTGAAGAAGTGAAGAGGTCAAGGTTATTTCATGTCACAGTGAAGCAAAGAATATAAAAATTGCAAAATTTAAAAAAGAAAAAATTCTTTCTAAAGGAAACTAATGAGATTGAAGAATGGAATATATCTACCTCATACATGCTCAAACATGGGGAGTTTAAAAACTGCTAATTATGTTTCTTAAAGCCATTGGAGGCAGACCATGAGTGAGCACAACCAAACTGTCATCTCCCAGTTCCTCCTCCTGGGCCTGCCCATCCCCCCAGAGTACCAGCACCTGTTCTATGCCCTATTTCTGGCCATATACCTCACCACTGTCCTGGGGAACCTTATCATCATCCTCCTCATTTTCCTGGACTCCCATCTCCACACACCCATGTACTTGTTTCTCAGCAACTTGTCCTTCTCTGACCTCTGCTTCTCCTCTGTCACAATGCCCAAATTGCTACAGAGCATGCAGAGCCAGGACCCATCCATCCCCTATGCAGGCTGCCTGACACAAATGTACTTTTTAATGTTTTTTGGAGATATGGAGAGCTTCCTTCTTGTAGTCATGGCTTATGACCGCTACGTCGCTATCTGCTTCCCTCTTCATTACACCGGCATCATGAGCCCCAAGGTCTGTGCTTGTCTGTTGCTGCCACTGTGGATGTTGGCCACTTCCAATGCAATGATGCACACCCTGCTCATGGCTAGATTGTCTTTTTGTGAAAACAATGTAATTCTCCACTTTTTTTGCGACTCATTGGTACTCTTGAAGCTGGCCTGCACAGACACCTACATTAATGAGTTGATGATATTTATTATGAGTGGTCTCATTGGTATTGCACCATTCCTACTCATTGTTATGTCCTATGCAAGGATTGTCTTTTCTATTCTCAAGGTTCATTCAACCCAAGGCATCAACAAACTTTTCTCCACATGTGGTTCCCACCTGTCTGTGGTGTCTCTGTTCTATGGGACAGTTATCGCTGTTTATTTATGTCCATCAACTAATAACTCTACTGTTAAGGAGACTACCATGGCTATGATGTACACAGTGGTGACTCCCATGCTGAATCCCTTTATTTACAGTCTGAGAAACAAAGATATAAAAGGGGCCCTGATAAAAATTATCTGCAATAAGAAAATCTCTTTGTAATGCTAGCACTTGGGATTTTTACCCTATTTTATGTAATAAATGTATGGTATAGATATGAATACTTTGTTTTGGAATGGATTTTCATTTATTGATACAATTTAAGGTCAATAAGGTGATATGTATATTTCTCCTCTTGTTTAGGTATTGTGTTTATTGAGCTCAGTTAGAAATGTAATGTATAATGTAGTACAGATTATAGATAGTTACCTATGATAGTTAGAACTTATAGTTAAGTTAGTTAGTATTTCTAGATATACAGACATATATTTGAGATGGATAGGCATTCTTCAAACCTTTCAAAGACCTACAGAATATGGAATTTAAAATGATTTAGGGTTTTACTTGACAATGAGACATAATTGCTCCTGGTAATACCACCCGCACCAGAAAGGAAGATGGACATCGAAGAAATGCATTATGAAGTTTGCTTCCAATATGGCAAGACTAGCCATTTGGACAAGATACTGCTCTTGTCTGGACTGTTTGACTTTATGCTGTATATACTGGACATGCAGGACCCACAGAAAAGTGACTGCTGATTCAAGATGGACATTGCTACAGAGTTCCTGCTTCATGGAAGAGTCTGCGAGACAGTATGCAGGACACAGAGAAAAGTGACTGACAAACTGCGAATACAAGAAGACAGTTTAAAGTTTCCTGCATTGCTGAAGAGTCTGCCAGACACACTATGGCCTATGGGCTGAAGATGGAAGATTACAAAAGAACTTCGGGTGACCACGCAGTGAGTTGTCTCTGTCATTTCTAGAGCTTATATATTTTCCTTCTGTGGTCTTTGAAGGAGTTGAAGACAGATGGTTATGGTTATAGTTTTCATTAGTTAGGATTAAAGATAAGTTACTTAGACTTTAGACACACAAAAATAGAATAGATGATGGAATATTTTCTTCAAATCTTGCTAAATGTTAATGGACTAAATACTGTTAAGTGTGATTCTTACTTGTTAACTGTTGTATAATATATTTTGCTATGTTAAGGTTAAAACCCTTCTTTTTATTTAAACAGAAAAGAGGAGATGATGGGAGATGCCATTATGTATATATGTTTCTCATACTGGTTAATAATAAAGCACTGTTGGCCAATAGGAAAGGAAGATAGGAGGGACTAGGAGACAAGGAGGAAATAGGAAGTAGTAAGGAGGAGCCAAGATGGAGAGTCTGGAGAGAGCTGGACGCCAGCCGCCTCCCCGGTAAGAGAAGGCCATGTGAAAATACATAGATCAGCAGAAATGGGTTAATAATTAAGACAGAGCTAGCCAATAAGAAACAAGTAACCAGGCCAACAGTATTGTATCAAATACAGAGTCTCTGTGTAGTATTTGGGGCTGGTGGCGTGGCGGCGGGTCAAGACCAGCTGTGGCAGGCAGAAAAACCGTACTCGTTACATAAATGTAATGATGTTAATATTTTATGCAGATGTTGCCTGTCATCATATAACCTACATAAAGAGCATGCTATGACTGTTCAATATGATCTATAATGTAATTGCCCAAGCTGTAACCAACATTATCCTTAATGCGGAAAAAAACTCAGGAAAAAGTTGTTCCTGAAATCAGGAACAAAGAGTGGATACCCGCTTCCCTACTCTAGTTAAGTGCAATACTGAATTTTACAATTTTCATTAAATATAATACAACAGAAGAAACCTGAACAAGACTCCTCATGTCCCTCCTCCAGTGTATGGTTCCTTTCTGCTTTCCTGGCTCATGCTGGCTCTTGAGGTTATGTACTCACTTAGCTATATTTGCTGGAGGGATTGACAGGTTCTAAAGAACATGAAGCATTCATCTTTCTGTGTCTGGATTATAAGACTGTGTAATATTTTCCAGTTCCATCCATTTATCCACAAGTTCATGATTTCATTTCCCTTTACACCTGAATAGAATTGTGTTTCTAGCCTGCATTTTCATTATCCCCCGATCAGCTGAAAGACATTTAGGCTGCTTTCCTTCCCAGCTATTGTGAACAGAGATGCAATAAGCATGGTTAAACAAGTATGTCTGAAGTAGTATATTGATTCTTCCAGGTGTGTGCCAATGAGTGGTATGCCTGGGTCCAATAGCTGATCCATGTATTTTGGCAACTCTCTATAATGGTTTCCATTGTGGCTGCACCAGTTTGCAAACCTACCATTGGTGAATGAGGTTTCCCCTTGACCATGGATCCTCACCAGCTTTTGTTATCAGTTATTTTCTTGGATAGTAGGGCACAGGTGCTATGAATGGGGGGAAGGGGGACACAGGGGAAGAACTTAATTGTGGGGAAGAGGGTAATACAGAGAAAGAAGGATGATACAGAGATAAATAAAACTCTGGATGTCTGAAAAGATCATATGTCAATAATTTACTCTTGTGATGCTTAGAAATACATATATATTATATATGAATGTATTTGTTTTTTTGAGGCAGGCTTTCTTGGTGTGTAGCCTTTGGCTGTCCTGAAACTTTCTCTATTGACCAGGCTGGTCTTGAACTCACAGATATCTTTCTAACTTGCTACATGACATGACAGTGTTTCTCACTGTAACAAACTACCTAACAAATACTCAGGGCAAGGCATGGGAAACCTGCCTTCATTTTGTTGTCAACTGAGGCCAAGAAACTCCCCAAATAATATAGTCTATTGCCCTTGCCCTTGGTTTTCTCTTAGAACTTGACAGCAAGTTCATAGAATTTGGAAGAATTGAGCTACAACTGATTCAGAAGCCTCCATCTTGGGGACTAGTTCTTCAGTATTGGAAGATTCTATGCAAGATGCCAGGGAAGAAAAGCAATCAGTAGACACACCCCATTGTAAAGCTTCTAAACAACAATGACCAGCATGGGATGGGATCCCCAGGGTTGCAATAGTGATACTTTTATCTTCAGAGTAACCAACATCTGCCTATTTGTGTTTACATCTAAATAAATAGGAAGTAATTTATACCTAGTACAACAAATCTAGCCAGTTATAGGCCCTAGAGGAGATCCTACTACTGCCATTTTCTTAAACTGACATTGTTTCCAATTTTCTTCTAAATACTTACCCTTATACCTGGATAAATATAGCTCTCACTCCTCATCAAAGAACCCTTTATTTTCTTTTTACATTTAATGAAAACTATTACAGAGATACACAACTGGCCAAAATGCAAAGAATAGGTGACTGGCATGTTCCAGTCCTAGCCCTGACAGGAAGGCATCAATTCCTTTCTATTAATTTGTCTGTTAAGTGCAATTAGACTGATATTTGTTACTTCCTAGATAAAAGTGGCACTATTGCATCACTGTGGATACCTTTCCACACTGTTAATGGTTATGGTTCATTAACTTTACAGTGGAGTATGACATTTTTTGCCCTGGCTTCCTGCACAAAATCTTGCATCAGATTTTGCAACTGATGCAGACTATTACAGAGATCCACAGCTGGTCAAAATGCAGAGAACACCTGACTGTGGCATGTCCAGAACTACTACAACTAAGGCTAGGCCACCATCTTGGAAGAGGAGGGAATTATAACAACCAAAAATTCAGTAATTTGCTGCAAGATAATGTATTTTAGAAATGACAGGGAACCAGTAACCATGAACTCTAAACTCCTTGATAAATTTAAAATACAATGGAAACTACGTTAGTTTAGGAAAATGGCAACAAATGGCTTCTGTGAGAGGGAGAATCAGTTTTCTCCAGGATCTACTCTTGATAGATTATACAATGTCAACTGGACACCCCTAAACACATATACATACTAGAAAACCTAAATGAATTTAGTATAGCATGTGTGTTTGTGTGTATGTGTTTGTATGTATGTTAAACAGTAACAACTAAAGAATTGGTCATGAATTTAAAAAGGAATAGAGAGACATGGGAGAAGTTGGAGATATTACCACACCTGATCCAAATGAAGCTATTATGATATTATGATACCTGATTTCCTTTGGTATTGCAGAGTCAATACAGCAATGACAACATCCATGGAACAGAAAAAAGGTCTGGTTATAAATTACTAAAGCTACACTCACTATTTGATGAAGATTCCAAAAATATACACTGGGAAGATAATAGCCTATAACAAATAGTGCTGAGAAATATCATAGCTACATGTGGAAAAATTAAACTAGCTCTAATTTCCCAATTTTCGCACAGATCAATTCCATATGAATTAAGGACATGAGAAATATGCCTAAAATTCTGAAAGTGTTCTGTCAGAGGCTATAGAGCTAGAAAAAGTTCAAAGAAGAGAACAGGTAAGGACACTCTGAATGAGACTATAGTTGCTTAGTAAAACATGAAAACAATAATGAACAGATATTCTTTTTTTCTTTTTTTCTTTTTATAACCAAGTCCATTTAAATGAAAACAAACATTTATAGACAATATTTGGGAATTTGGGCGTCATTCTTTCCAAACTACTTCCTGCTCATAAGGGGCGCTGTCATGGGGGATTCTAAGAAGATGCAGAAATCCTGGCTGTAGTCTGCAAGGCTGCTATGTCCAGCTGTTTTGAATGTAGGATCACCTGGTACTCTGTATCAGGCGGTCTGGCTTGTTCAAACCACATTAGTCTGGAAGGAATCTACAGCTTTTCATTTTCTGTGGAAACAAAAATAGAAATCCTTTTCCCCAGTAACTTGTCCTTGAACTTAAATTTTGGAGTCAAAGCATTTTTTTTATTTAATTTATTATTTTACATGTCGATCCCAGTTCCCTCTCCCTCCCTCCCTCCTTCCCTTCCTCCCTCCCTCTTTCCCTTCCTCCCTTCCTCCTTCCCTTCCTCCCTCCTTCCCTCCCTTTTACCCTCTCTGCCCTCTCACATGCACCCTAACCACCCTCCCATCCCATCCCCCCCACCCCAATTCCATATGTAGGGGAATGCCATCCAGTTGGGGTCATGTAGATCTGACAGGTTATATGAAGTAGGGACTAGGGCTTCTCTCCTGTCTCTAGGTTAAGGCAGTTATCCCTCCATGGGGGATGTGTTAGCAAGGTCCTTTTGTGCACCAGG